TTTAGTTCTCGTGATGTCTGATGGAGGATCAATTTTCACATTCCTTCTTTCAGAAAAAAAAGGTGGAATAACCGGAGAATACCGACCCTCAAACTCTCAAGTTCTTTTGCATGTTTCTGCATAAGCTGCCTCTGGAGAGCTCGATTCTCTTCCAACATCCTAATCCTTCTAGAACTAATCTGAGACTGCACACGAGATAGTGTTTGCATGCATTTTAGAGTATGTGCAGTTTGTCGTTTCCCTGTAGGTCCATCAGCAAGTGATTTGAGTCTGACTAGCCCTCTTAAAGCCTTCAATGCCCTCCTAGCCTGCAGTTGATAAATGTCAATAGCAAGTTCCTTCTCAGTATCAAACTATTTAATACAAGCTTTACTGATCTAATAAGGAAAATGATCAAGCTTATGGTAACCTCGCTGAAAAGAAATACTTCCACATACGGAAAATTCGTTTAGAACAAAACGAATATAAGAATGTACAGAAGCATACCAGATATCCTCTAAATGCAGTCTGAATCCTGATTGTGGCTACTTCCTCCTTTGATTTGCCAGTATACTGAGTCACTTTAGCTAATGGAACAACCTCTTCAGCAGCCTCGGTGGCTGAAACAGCAACTTCAGCAGCTGCGGAAGTGGAAGCTGCAACAGAGTATGCATGTTTTGTCTGCTCCTCTTCCACTTCATCCAGTGCAACCTCTTCAACATGAGGAACAGGATGTGGAGGAGACACTGAGGCAGCAATCGGGGACAAAGAATCTGGAACTGGATCCTTCTCTTTCCCAAACCATTTCTTCTTTGATTTCTGAAATTAAGCTCAAGAATGCTTAGTCACAGTTAAATTATGAAAAAAGTATTACGGCATACTAGAAAAGCTCGATACAGCTATTCCACAAAACCTTGTTCGTGTTCTCACCTTAGGATCTGGGCTTAGTGCCTTCTTTACCGAAGAAAACCAGTTTCCTTTCTTCCCCATTTTCAATTCATTCCTCAATGTTCCCTATTTAAAAGACAAAGCAAAGCACATTACACGGTTAGCTTAACCTTTTCAGTGAGACATTTATCCACATAACTCACAAAATTAAAAGGAAGCAAATACAACAACAACGTACTCCAGTGTAGTCCCACAAAGTGGGGTCTGGGGAGGGTAGAGTGTAAGCAGACCTTACCCCTACCACAGAGGTAGAGAGGTTGTTTCCAATAGAGTTTGGACTCGAGAAAAAACAGTCCAAAACAGATAGTAACAAAAACAACATATAGTAACATAACAGTACTACAACAAAATAATACAATAGTCAAAGTACGAGAAACAACAGATAATAACAAAAATAGATAGACAAGAAACTACAAGAGTAATACCACGACAAGGGTGAGGAAAGAACCTACAAATCATCTGAAGATCATTTAAGGAAAAGAAGGTAACAACTTAAAAGATCTATGAATTAAACAGTCATTTCTAACCAGATTATCAAGTTATCCAAAACCTAAACTATTACACCTAATTTCTCACCAGGGATAAAAATCAAGAAAGATTCTGAATCCTCAGTCCCACAGTGATCAAAAATCACATAGATGGATCAAAATTGATTCTTTTATCTCTATACTTACTCAACAGCTAAACATATAACAGAACTACTAATTCAACTGAACATATTATAGTATTAGTTCCAAAAGAGCAACAGTCCACCAAATCTTTAAAAAGACACTAAAGAAAATGACACTGCAACTAGCTTCAATTTCCACTAAGACAGCAAAAAAAAACTCAAAAAATGAAAAAAATATACATATTTTGAAAGATCTAAAGTATGAAGAAATACCCTATAGACAAAATTGGAGCCCCTTCTTCAGATCTCAGAAAAATAGCTAATTTGTTCTTCAAAGATTGTAACTTTATCTCAAAATATGTTTATATTGTGTAGAGGGTAACATAAAAAGATCAAGAAAATGTTGGACCCCTCTTACTTTAGTACCCTTTTAGGCACTTGTAGTGTGATAAAAATCAGATCTTGATGAAGAATTCAACCATGTTAGAAGACCAGCTGGTTTTGGGACCCATTGGGTAGACCTGGGCAAGTGGACCCCACACTTCTAATTTGTAATTTATTTATATTTTTTTATTTTGGACATCTGCATTGGACCTCGACTAATTGAAATTCATATAGTGTATGAGTTCATATGGAGTAACGTCCCCTATTAAAGATTTTTTCATATCCAGACTCAACTTGATGTATCATTATTGAGGGTAGAGCAGCTCATCAACTGTAACCACTTTTTTGATAGTTAATTTGTAATTATCTCACTGTTTTATTTATTATCCGGCAGAAAATGATTAGATGCTTCTTATTAGTCTTTTTTATTTGCTTTTTAATAATAATAATAACAATAACAACTCATGAAGTTGATACCATTAATTAAAGGTGTTTTTGCATTAGAGAAGAAAAGCATCCACATCTATAGATAGATAAATACCAGTTGTTTTTAAAACATTTTTTTAGTTTGGAAGGATAAATTAATCAAAACAGAAAGATAAAACATGGTGATGAGTTATAAATAAATATATAATTCTATTAGCATTGCCATTTGCCAGTATTGGAGTTAAATGATTAACTTATATATAGGTGTCAACTGTTTATTATGTACTCATGCTATGGTAAGATATGAAAACTCAATAACATTAATATAAATCTTGTGTATATATATAAAATTTTTATGGAAAACTCAATTATTACTACATATTTACTTGTAATTGATGTAAAAACTCATAAATTTCAAATGTCCATCCGCCTCGAAAATATAGTGTACCCTTGTAGTAAAATATTGAGTCATCGCTCACGCGGCTTTAATTCACATTTCTGTTATGTTCAATTAAAGCCAAAAATTATGGCATGAGTAAATCCCATCACACATCACGTTTTGCAACTGTCACATAGTATATGGTTAAAAAATGTAGGTATATTAGATCTAGACGCCTTTATAGCTTAATATACTTACTGATCAAAGACGTGCTTAAAAGTTATATTGCTTAAATCTTTAAAAAATATTATTGCATTCGTGTTTGATTCTTCAAAAGTTCGTATCTAATCCCGAACTATAACCTACAAGTGAAATTAGGTCTTGAGTCTAACTCACACCCTAAATGTTAGCTCAAAGGAAGAAGGATTGTCTAAGCCTTATAAAAAGTCCACCATCTTATTAACTGTGAGACTTTTGTCATTCTTTTAACACGTAATTTTTGATGAAATTGTGTCAAATGATACTCTGCTTAAACTAAGATGTTAGGTGTATCCATTCTGCCTACATGCATCCAATGATATTTTTAAAGAGTCGTGAGATAGCTTATAGTACATTTTTCAATAATGCACACATGGCACGGTTCACAACATAAATGTTCTAACCATACACATGTCAGGACCTTGTAATTAATTTTGCTGTCAAGATAACGACACATCCAATATTGCCAAAACTTGTATAGTTCATTAACTCATTTTGTCCATCCTTCAATAGCCCTTTTGCCTACCCCCACTTCATTCTTCTTCCATGATGATCCAAGTCCTCATGACTTAGGAATTGTTTCTTATTCCTTGCGCTCCCCCCCCCCCCCCAAAAAAAAAAAAAAAAATTTATAATAAAAATAATTTATTTAAAAAAAAAAAAAAAAAAACAA